CTTAACAATTTATATTAGTTTGAATTTAATATCGAAACTTTCTTATTATTTTATAATATTTGTAACACACTTATGATACACTCAAATCACATGAATACAATTTGAATTGAAATATATTGTAGTAAATTTGATATGTCTGAATTTTTATATGCAAATATTAATTCAATAAAATATCTTGTACTTTTATATGACAATATGAAATAAATAATGCAGTGAATATCTTTGCATGTTTTCCAATTTCTGCGAGAAAATAACAGAATCTGGTAATTTTTTGTTCGTAATTAAATTCATTTCCGTTCAGTTCGTTGATAGACAACTGGCAGACCATGTCTGTAGTATCACCAAGTGACATACGATCAAATCATGATGGAATGTTCTAACTCAGGTGTTCTTTACAGAACAATGCTGAGTTTGTATGTAGAAGTACCATTGAGAAAATAGTTCGTTTGAGTAGAGTTAAAATACTTTATTATTGATTAAAAAGTGAGGTTTCAGGGTCCTTGGTCCAGGAATGTTTTCTGTTTTTCATGAAAAATGAGAAATGAAAATTTTTATGTTTTTTACCGCTTTTATTTGTAACTAAAGTAACTGCAGTTTTGTCCTACAAGGACATTTTCAAACTTAAACAATTAACTTCAGTTACAAATAAAAGTGGTAAAAAACATAGAAATTTTCATTTCTCATTTTTCTCTACCACGTAGTTACGGATACATTCATCAAATTATTTACTGTTTTTGATTTATATCAGACAAACTCGAACATAAATAGATAGTACTATTCCGATCATCCACAATTTGATTTAAATATCCACCAGTAGACAGCTGTTTCAACCTATTGGTTCGTTCCAACGAACACTCAACCCCCCTGTAAGTCAGAAACGGACGTGTAATCGAAAATTTCAAAGAGCACGTCACTTTTCATTTCTAGGGGAACTAATTCTGATATGAAAATCATACCCGAAACTTCACCCCTGTGCGGTCAAGAACTATCCCCCCCCCCTATTTTTTCAATGCGAGGGGGGTGAATAATACATCATTTGAAAAGTATTTTGTTCCTCTATTACTTCTTCATTTTTTTTCGAAATTGTTTCATTTGTTATTGAGAAATTAAATGTTGAACGTTTTATTTAAGAAAAAACAGAAAATTAGCTGTCGCTCATTTCATTGAGGAAATCAATAAAAGTGATATCAATGACAATATAATCAACCAATAAAGTGTTCAAAATGATCTACATCTAGTTCCATACAATAATACAGTCTCCTTACATTATTGAAGATGTCCGGAGTCAGAAATTAGCATATCCGAACAATTCTCTGGTCTTCCAGATTTGTAGAATTTATTTGACTAGTAGTAAACGTTTTGAAATGGACGACACCGTTAGTTTCTTCTGCACTGGTAGTATTTGTTGAATCTAGTTGTCGCAGAACAAAAAGTAGATAGTTGGCCACTGTCACTTGTTCACGAATTATTATTCGGTCATCCTTGTTCACTGTGTTCCAACATGGTTCATTTTACTTAAAAAAGGATAAAAATTGTTCCAACCTATTATTGAAATAATGAATGTGCTGAAGCTGCTGTAAGAATTTATAATACGAATCATCCAGACCACAACGTGAGCCATCAATACGTTAAACAGTTAATGGATAAGTTTTGAACTTCAGGTTCTGTTCACAACAGAAAACATGAAGTATCCTGTCCTGTCAGAAATGACGAAGTTGAAGTTTTAGTTTTAGGACATGTACAAATGGATAATAGACAATCTATCAGACGAATAGCTAGAGCNCTCTCAGTGTAATACCTGATGTCGGACAAGTTACTAATACATAAAACCGCAAAATAACCGACTGTGTTTTCTAGACCAATTGACGAAGAAATGAAATAACAGAATGGACATTCTACATGTGGTTACCAGTTGATAATTCGAAGGAAATATAATTTTGTGACGAAAATTCCATAGAAAATAAACTCATGTATATGCATGTTTACAAAAGATAAAATGTATTAATCGTACCTCTTTAGATAAACTGCAAGTAGTTATCAAATCCGTACGATGCAGAACAGTGTGCCAATAATACCACTATCGACATAACACATATCTGGATGTGACCATTATTTATTATGCCGAATTGGTTCTATTTCGTTGGTTGAATTCAGACAATGAATAGGTATAGAAATTTAGTAAGTACTACTATCATTTTTCTATCAGTTCCATGAATACTTGGATGTTTCAATAGATTTATGTATTAATAATATACTGAGTAAAAAAATTCTACATATCGATTTCAAAATGGGTGTTTATACCTATACCCCATCATACCGAATGAATTTTTAGCGTAAACAATTTTAGCTGTGTGCGTAATTATTTCGAAACTGAGGATTGTACTTGTGGTTCAATTGAGTATTTTAAAATTTGATTCACAGGGATTATGCATCAAAAAGTCAAGTTACAGCTAGTTTGTATTAATAAACTCTCCACCCCTTCCACAATAAATTATTTAGGTATTCCACTTTCCTTTTGTACAAATTGCATTTCTCCAAATATATTCTTAGGAAACAAGTTCGATAACTTTTTCGTGGTAGCATCTTATTGAAACCAGATTACTGTAATTTAGAAAAATGTCTGAAGAAGCCAGCTTGAGTATACAGGGTGTAAGATAAGTACCTTATAATATACAATTTTTGTGTTCGTCTTTTAAAAATGAATTTTGCAAAAAATACATTATTTGCACGAAATTTGGAACACCGGAAATCATAATTTCTTATTAATATTCCTATAATTCATGGTACATCTAGAGGGGCTGCGTACGCTGTCATTATTTATTTCAAATTGCCCAAACTTTTCTGATAGTAACCTTTTGGTACTTTTCATGTGAAAGCTAATTCCCACACCTTTTCCAAGTGAATAGGGTACACTTCCTCAACAACGCTGAAGGTGATCGTTTTCGAGATATTTACAATTTTCTAAATCGATGGATATTACTTAGCTCTTAGGGCGCTAAGTGAAGTTATTGATAACATTACAAAAACTAAGTATGTGGTGGATAAATAAGTTTTTCCTAGTAAATTTTTATCAAAAAATCATTCGTTTCCAAGATATAAAATGTTGATTTTTCCAAACATGGTTGGTTTTGTCATAAGTTTTTGGCAATTTTAGTTATTTTTATCTCGAATTTTTTTCNTCGTGATAGAGAGCGGTGATGTGCGCTATGTGAGCGTCATTCAAGGTCAACCGGTAGTCTCTGTGAAAAAAAAGCCATAAGAAATTTATTAATTATTGATGGATACATAATTAATATAAATTTTCATTTCTTATTGATTATTATTTTAAATTCAATAATTTTCATCATTTGAATATCTCACTATTCAATAACACTTATAACCGATTGATAAGTATCCTCGTTCAAAAAACAAACTTTTTGTTTCTGCACGTTGTGATACGACTTCTGCGCTTTTGAAAAAAGCAAAAAAAAATATTTTGAAGGACAAAATACAAGCACTACAGAAAAGTCATCGCTCTAAGAGCGGTGACTGTGCGAAAGTGGCGATTTCATTGGATTTGAATTGCTGGAGATTGAATCCATTTGGAAAAACGTTCTCAGGATGTCTAGTCCACATAAACGTAGTTCTGCAAATGAAGAAGTTTTTAAACAGTGGAGCTCAAGATGTACTGAATTGAGCCTCAAAGCGATGAGCAGTCACAGTCCGCTCTTGGTGGAATCAAATGTGCTAAGTCGCTTGAACATTTCCCGTGAAAGTATCTTTAGAAGAGAGATGAATCTCCAATCTTTCTTCGATGTTCTAGACAATCAAGATTGCAAATGATGTTCGTGTCTCCAATCAGGCAGATGGTTATTTTCTGAATGGAATTCAGCAGCTTCAGGGTGTGCTTCGGAGCGGAGCTCCATACATGAGAACAATACTGCAAAGAAGGTCTGATCTGAGCTTTGTAAAGCATCAAAAGTTGCTGAGGTGTGTACAGTTTTCTGGTTCGGACTAGTGTTCCAAGCTTTCGAGAAGCAGCCTTTGCAATTCCAGCGACATGATTGTGCCAAGACATATTGGTGTCCATTTCAATCCCAACAAACTTATCGAAGCAGAAAGCGGAAATTATCTGTCATGACATTTCTATATCTGGTTCAGAGACATTCATCTCTTTTAAGAAAACCGATGCCTGGGCTTTTGTGAAACCGCCGAATTTGGATCAGCTTGCAGCATTATTTGAGAATGGAATTCAAATTTTGTTGGCGATCTATAATGCTCCAAAATCTTTGGACAGTATCGATCATCTCCGTTATGCACAATACATCAAGTCTACACAACTGAATGAACCTATGCAGTTATCAAATATTCCACCAAGTGCAGCAGCAGACAAACATTTCAATCGTGTTTATTTTCGAGTTCAAACTTGGTTGGGGCATGAATTGGGACCTCAAGTATGAAGTTGGACGACAAGTTCAGCACCTGCTTCAAAGGAATTTCTCAACACAATATACTGCATCTCCAAGAGTGGTTGTGGTTTGCGATGTGGATGCAGGAAATTGAGGTTTTAGTGCTCTTCAGCTCGTGGCTAGTTTAATGGGCAAGCTTGTCTCAATACTTAACCATACCAGAGTGAAGTCAATGAAGACAGATCTATTGACCCTGAAATCATGGCCTGGAGACAATGTCGTTGAAGACGATAAAGAAGAGGACTTTGAAATACTATAGCGGTCGGAAGATGACGATGAAGAAGAAGGTAATTGAAGTTATATGTTGCAGTTCTTGTAATTTTAATTAAATTCTTTTATTTCCACAATCATAAATGTATGGAATATTTTTTAATGTCAACAATGATTAACAATTTTTTCCTCTTTTTTATTTATTCAAGAAGTTAGTGATATAAATTTCATTAGAATTGAAATCTTATTTGAGTATTTTCCTTAACAATTCTATAACTACAAGGGCAGGTAAGTGTATTAAATAAATTGATACTGAATTAAAAATAGATGAGTTAACTAACTTTATATGGTGTGTTTTTGACCGGAACTACTGGTTGAACATAAATGTTACTCTAACCACGCGCTCTCCGCTCTTTATCTCGAAAACGATACAACGTCTAAAAAAATGTTCGACACGAAAGTTGTAGGGAATTCAATGCTTTGCAATACTGATCATGAATACAAAGAGCAAAAAACCCAAAGAAAAGGAGATATTTGTAAAACATTTGCAAACAATCAATTGTTGTGACCTTTGACCTTAGACTTTAATAGTCGCGTACACCCTACCATATGTAGGTTTTCGGATAACTTTCAGGATATTTAAATACAAGTTTACACAAATGGATATCTCAAATTCCGACGTGAACTGGCCTAAAACGCAATTGATAGTTGAGACCAGCAATGAATTTGTGGTTCAGCCTAACATCACTGATGAGACCTTTGGTGGGTCGAAACAGCGCTCTCTAGTGTTGGATCATAAATACGTTGTGTTGGGGCTCTTATTTTCAGTTGCCTTGCAGTCAAATGCATATAACGAATCTCGTCGTCGGTCGATGTCATTACCCTTACTTCTGAAATAAACTATTCGTTTATATCAAGTGAAACGTAATTATCTATAATTTTTTCTTAATATTTCATTATTATACAGTATCTGAAACACAGCAAAAATACATTCAATGAAATATCATGATAATAGAGATTCTCGAAAAATTCTCTCAGTTGGTAACGAGATGGGTAAATTTCCCCTAATTTTTTAACAGACAGCGTATATCTCAATTTAATGAAATTGGATTGTTTGAAATAATTCCATCAAGTAGAATTTTGCCAAAAACAGAAACATTCAGACAACCTAGTATGAAGGTTCTTGTACCGACAATGGTACTGTATCTGTAGAGTAGGGAGGGTTAGTGTAGGCCCACAGCATTTAGGCCACATGTGACCCATTGTACATTCTCCCGAGGATCTGTTCTCCTAGATCATCGTCCATCCTGTCCTTTTCAGGAAGCTGGACAGGTCACTAGGCGACATCTCCTTTATATCGGCAGGTGTAGGCCAAGACTCGCCGAACACACACTCTCAACTCCGGACACTCGCATAGGACATGCCTGATAGTTTCATCTTTCTGTTCACACATCCTGCATGGAGGTGTGTCCACTAGCCACATATTATGGGGGTGTTTCCTGGTCATCGTTCCTGGTCACTGTTGAGCGTAGGGTTTTCCTGGTCACCGACAGATATTTTCTTGGCGTCAGCTTTCCAGGGTCGCCCAGGTTGATGCTGGCAAGACTGCATCCTATACTTCCATCCCATCTCTTTAGGGATTGAACATGTCGAAGTCATCAGGTCGTAGGTGTCACTGGCTATGTTTTTGCCATAAATTCTTTTCCTGGTTATTTCTTTTGTGGCGATTGAGATACCAGCCAGTTTTGTTTGACCACGATGGTATTTTTTTCCATTCTCCACTTACTCCTTAGACTTTGTGATCTGGAGTAAACTCCACATCCTGAGACTTTTTTTGGTTTTGAGCCGTATGTATATATGCGTATTGCATTTGTAGCATATGACTCTATATTATGTTTTATTTGTATTTTGTAGGGTTCATTAAACACAAAGCTCGGTTCAATTGCATCACTGGCTGACTGCAGCACAGGTTGCGCAGTAAGTGCTTCTCGCCATAGGCTCACAACTGACACATTCCTACTTCGAGGTTTACACCATCCGTGCGTAATCGTGATATGGCCACATGGTGAAGGGCCGAATCAGTAGACCTACCTGTAGTATATGCATATTGATTTGGATGAAGTGGGTTGTGAACTAGTACTTCATCTCTTATGTACCGCTCACATAGCCTCTCCATAGTTATAAAAAGAACGATGTGAGATCAATTGGTCGGAATGCTTCTGGTAAGGCGTTGTCCATCTTACCTAGTTTGGGTATGAATATCACTCGTACTCCACTGACTGGGAATATACCTCAGAGCTAAAGAGGCTCTGAATATTTCAACCAGGTGTGGCATAAGAATATCCATTCTCCATTGAACTAGGACTGGTCATATACCGTCAGGTGCTGGTGACTTGAAGGTAGAAAAGCCTGATATGGCCCATCTTATCGTGTCCTCATCAATTACTGCACTAGAAAATTGTCAGTCGTATTGTGAGGGTGTCGTTGGTACTTTCGTGCAGTTCATCGTTCCAGGAAGACAAACCCTGGAAAGTGAGTTTCCATAAGAATCTCAGTGCTCTCTTGGAGGTTGGCGGCATTGTCGCCATTTTCCGTTGTCAGAATGCCGATAGTCTTATGGTTGGACATTTGCCAACCATAGGCTCTCCAGGCGTCTCTTTGCTTTTGTCTGCAGACTTTTTTCAACTCTCTGAGGTTGGCTTGATATATACCCCAGTCCTCTTCGAGTCTTGTACGTTTTGACTTCCCGCTGTCTTCCTGAGGTGTTCCAATTCAGGTGGTATATTTAACAAATATAACTTTTTATAGAGAGTGGCCATCTTCGAAGAATTCAATTTTTGTCCATTTCTCCTCTTTTGTACCGCATCACCAGACGTATTGTATTTCAGAAAAAAAATTAATTGAAGTGAATTTTTGGTATTCACGAAAAAATATCTATGGTAATTATATGCTGATATAAGTACTATTATACTTATACATTTGGAGGTTTCAAAGTGGAGGAATCTATATGTTCAAATATTTTCGTTGGCGGGTTTCGTGGTGTCACTAACAAAGTGTAAAAAATGGGTTTTCCGTTAACTAGCTGTCGTCCCCTACGAACGACAACTCTCAGAAGTCGAAACTTGAGCGAGCTCAAGATTTTAACGTGCGGCAAATCACCCATCGTATTTCAGGACCGGGATAGAACCAATATTTTCAACAGTGCGTATTGGAATTCACTAACCAACCAGTTACCAACTGATTACTGAATTGAAGTATCATTTAGCAATTTATAATTTCGTGTTTTTTTTAAGTTATTTACGAATGTATCTTTTCATTTCAGATCGATATGGATTCGCTGTCAAGAATTTTATTTGGATTGTCATTCATAGTTCATGCCAGTGTAGATGAAGTGAATGCAAGGGTCATCCCAAACAATATTCAAAATCGTTTTGAAAGTTATGATAACTTTTTCGTGGGTGGAAATGCTATCAAAAGTCAAACCAAAAGTGATGTAGATCCTGCTGAACCTGGCAGGAAGACGATCTATCATCTGTCAACACAATTGCCCCCCACTTCGAAATTCCCCAAAAAAGATGATTTTTCATTTGTTGATAATGATATCATTGACTTATACCACAATGTTGATGATGAGTATAAGGATTTTTCTGATAATGATGGTGATATTAAAGGAGAGGACGATGCAGAGAAAAATTGGAACATTTCTATTTATACAGATAACAAAGGAAACATTTCGATAAAAACCATTCCACTTCAAATAACAACGCAAGGATACATTTCGAAAAGAAGTGTTCCTAATACTGATGATGAAGATTTAGATTTTTTTGGTAGCGGTAGTGGAAGTGGAGATGAACGCAATGCAACTTTGTCGTCTACTAAGAGGGATTTCAAAAATGACAACAATGTCAATAATAAAAAGACTACCAGAGACTTGATATCATCGGAAAACAAATTAAACAGCAGCATCAGTGACAACGAAACTGTCAGTGGAAATTACAGAAAAAATCAAAATCATTTTGCAAATGCACCTAGGAAAGCATTAAATATCAATTTATCTTTTACTGATGATGAGGATTTAGTAATTTCTGGTAGTGGCGATGAAAGAAATGAAGATACACATGATAATATTACGTTTCATTCATCAAATACCAATAGCATTTTCAAAGTCACATCCTCCACCTCAAACAAATCTATTCGAACTGAAGATAATCCTGTTGTTGAAAGTAATATCAAAAATAGAGAAGCTACAAAATCATCAGAAAACAATTTATCTGAAATAATAACCCAAATGCCTACTGTAGAAACTAATTTTTTCAATAGCGATGATGAAGATTATGAATTTTCTGGTAGTGGTGATGATAACAGAGATGAAAACCTTGTGAACCCTAAAGAGTTTTTTACAGACAAAGAGGTACATTTTTATGTGAATAGTATTCCTACTGTCGAAAATACCATCAAACAAATCGAAGCAAAACATTCATCAAAAGCCAATTCATTTGAATCAACAACCCAATTATTTGTTTCAAAACAATTTCATTCTATCACTAATGACGAAGATTACAAATTATTTGGTAGTGGTGGTAATATAAATGAAGATGAAGATTCTCTAGATTCAATTACAAAAGACCAAGTGGAGTTTAATTTGAATGATATTAATACTCTTACTATTCCTATTAGAACTGTAACCATTCACATTTATCATGATGAAAGCAAAGATAACGAAGAAAGAAATCTGGCAAATACATCTGAAATAACAAACGAAATGCATATCACAAGGTTTGTTACTCTTGACAGCGATGATGAAGATTACGATTTCTCTGGAAGTGGTGATGAAAATTCAGGTGATGAAAATTCAGAACTGTTTGTTATAGAGACCTTTGTTGCTAACAACGATGATGAGGACTATGAATTTTCTGGCAGTGGTGAAGATGCTAATTCTTCAGATTCTATTACAGACAACACAGCAGAGTTTAATTTTCAATATAATTCTAGTCCTCCTACCATGGTCAGTGATTTTGAGGGATCACATGAGAATATTTCTTCCAGACGTAACAAAAGTGGCACCACATATTATGAAACCACAAACTCATTGGGATCTAATTTATGTAGAATAACAAATGAAAAACATATTTTGAAGAATGTGGTTTCCAATAGTGATAACGAAGATGAAGAGTTATCTGGTAGTGGAGATGATGATGATGATGAATATGATATATCGGTTACAATTGACAAGGAAAAGTTTTACGTACAAAATACTGCTGAAACTACTACACCTTATACAACAACTGGTTTGGCGAAATTTTCACGCACTGTTTCTATTGAAAGTGCCAGCAAAAACAAAAATAACAAAGCAACCAGATCTTCAGTGGACAATTCAACTGATTTAACAACCAAAATGTATGTTATAAAGACCTTTGCTGCTAACAACGATGATGAGGATTATGAATTTTCTGGCAGTGGTGATTATGCTAAATCTTTAGATTCTATTACAGGCAACATAGCAGAGTTTAACTTTCAATATAATTCTAGTCCTTCTACCATAGTCAGTGATTTTGGGGGATCATCTGAGAATATTTCGTCCAGCCGTAACAAAAGTGGCACCACATATTATGAAACCACAACCTCATTGGGATCTAATTCATTTAGAATAACAAATGAAAAAAAAATTTTGAAGAATGTGGTTTCCAATAGTGATAACGAAGATAAAGAGTTATCTGGTAGTGGAGATGACGATGATGATGATGATGATGATGAATATGATATATCGGTTACAGGAGACAAAGAAAAGTTTTACGTACAAAATACTGCTGACACTACTACTACTACACCTTATATAACAACTGGTTTGGCGAAATTTTCACGCACTGTTTCTATCGAAAGTGCCAGCAATAACAAAAATGACAAAGCAACAAAATATTCAGTGGACAATTCAACTGATTTAACAACCAAAATGTATGTTATAAAGACCTTTGCTGCTAACAACGATGATGAGGATTATGAATTTACTGGCAGTGGTGATGATGACAATTCTCTAGATTCTATTACAGGCAACACAACAAAGTTTAATTTTCAATATAATTCTAGTCCTCCTAACATATTCACTGATTTCGAGGGATCATTTCAAAATATTTCATCCAGCCTTAACACCAGTGGCACCAAATATTATGAAACCACAAACTCGTTGGGATCTAATTCATCTAGAATAACAAATGAAAAACAAATTTTAAATAATGTTATTTCCAATAGCGATAACGAAGATGACGAGTTATCTGGTAGTGGAGATGATGATGATGATGAATATGATATATATGTTACAAATGACAAGGAAAAGTTTTACGTACCGAATACTGCTGATACTACTACTACTACTACTATACCTTATATAACAACTGGTTTGTCGACATTTTTACGAACTGTTTCTATTGGAAGTACCATCAATAACAGAAATAACAAAGCAACCAATTCTTCAGTGGACAATTCAACTGATTCAACAACCAAAATATATGTTATAAAGACCTTTGTTGCTAACAACGATGATGAGGATTATGAATTTTCAGGCAGTGGTGATGATGCTAATTATCTAGATTATATTAAAGGCAACACAGCAAAGTTTAATTTTCAACATAATTCTAGTCCTCCTACCATAGTCACTGAGTTAGAGGGATCATTTCAAAATATTTCGTCCAGCCATAACAAAAGTGAAACAAAATATTATGAAACCATAAACTCGTTGGGATTTAACTCATCTGGAATAACAATAATTAAAAAACAAATTTTGAAGAATGTTATTTCCAATAGTGATAACGAAGATGACGAATTATCTGGTAGTGATGATGATGAATATGATATATCTGGGAGTGGTGATGAAAATTGAGACCGATTCTCATTTTATATGTGATCAATTCGTTGATGAAGCTTCCAATAGTAACAGCGGAATTGTTTTGTTGATTAGAAAATATAAATATAGAAGAATGTGATGATACCGATTGTGCATATTGCAACAGTGGTTATCAAGTAAAACTTCATATCCATTGTGCAAAAAAATAGGAAACTTTGAGACCCCCTTGAATATATGATATATTTCGTATAACAGTATAAGACTGTATGTTTTGTCGTTGTAGAGGAAGTGTTTCATTATGTTCCTTCAGCTGCGTTATTTGTGTTGTTATTACTTTGTTGAATCTATTGTTTTTTGAATATTATATTATTAAAAGGAATGAACTAGAAGACTGTTCAAACTAAACAGAAATATTCATTTCAATAAAATATATCAGCTGTATTCCCAGATTGATAAATACATAACTTATAGTATTATATCATTCCTACAATGTAAACACTGTCATAAAAATGTGAATAACTGATTTTTGTACTTTTGTTAATAAAATGAAATGAAACCGAACAGTACCACCTATAATTTGACACAATATAAAATATTGGAAATAAGTGTTTAAATCTCATTAAGTAACCGAAAGTTTCGAAAGATAACTCAATTCTAGTATTACGATTCTTCCTGTTCAGTATACAGGGTGGGGCACCCTACACGACACCATCCCAGTTAACCAAACCATTAATGTTTTCGGGATTTTCTCCATTTCATTATATCTATATTGATCAAGGCTGCAGAAAAAAAATATGTTGGAGTCTGCAGCGTGGCTCAAAAAAGTGACATATCGAAATTGTGCATTTCGTTACACTTCTGAATAGGTCAGCAGAAAAAAATGATTTCATGAAAGGTTTTATGTACCTATTTAAAACCGTTCTCAAGATGTCGATTTTATATGGGAATACTAGGTACAATTCGAAACTAAATAACATCGAAATGTATAGAAATCATCCCTTCGAATTCTGACCAAGCATAAAACAGGTTTTGGGCTATTTATTCCAATAAAACCTGTTCCTCAATATTATACAGAATGTTCAAAAATCATTGTCACTTCTTTATGATTTTGGACAAAAATTTCTTTGTTATTTCAAACACCCTCTCTTTTTTGAGCTGAAAATATAAAATTCAATTATCTTTCATTTCATTTTGG